TTGTGTGTTGCATAGTGTAAATGTGCTGTGTGCCAGTTGCCATTTGAATTGATTGTGCAGTTCTGTGTCACAGATTGTGAAGAGCGGAAGGCTGGATATTATTTAATTAACATCTGTCCTCCTTTCATGACGTAAGGGAAAACTGTACTCTTCTACCTGACCCTGCCACACATGAAAAGCCTCCCCACCTCCATCACAATCTTCACATTCATAAACAGAAGAATAATTCATGCCAGAAACCTTCCTAAAATTGTTGGATTGACCGTCGTGCTCGCTCTCTGACCCTCTGCATTCATTTGTATTAGGTTCCTCTGGATATTGGGTGAATGCAGTTTCCTGACGGAGCTGGCCCCCAGTGGATCAGGATGTGTGAGAGTGTTCCAGAACTTCCACCCCTCACCCTGGGAGTCAGGGTGTGTGAGGGTTTCCCCTACCCCCTCCCCCACACAAGTGTCAGGGTCTGAGAGGGTCACACACCCTGCCCTCCCAAGAGTCAGGGTTTGTGAAGGTTCCTCCAGTGGGTCAGGGATGTGTGAGGTCCTTCCCTCTCTCGGAACCAGGCTGTGGATGACACTGGGGAACAATTGGCCATTATTCACTGTCTGGCCTGACACTGCGGGTCTCCCAGCTGAGCCGAATGCTGTCACCGTTCCCGATCCACTTGAGCAGACTGGGGAGGTGAGCGTGTTGTTGTGTTTCTCACCCTCCCCCCACAACAACACTGACATCAGTGAGCAGGTTTCTCTTGTCAAGTGACTAACTGTTTGGGTTGCACAATGTGCTGCATTGCTTTCTGCTTTGAATTCACCCGTTTTGTGCCAGCTGTTTAGCAGTTGCTGGCTGTGTAAGTTCCATGGAGTAGTGAAAGTCAGTGATGAGAAAGCTGTGTTTCCATGTGGGCAGCTTCGAAGTACAGCCACTCCACGACCAGAGTATGAAGGCAGCTTGTGGTGCTTCGGAGTGCTAGAGTTTACCTCGACAGTGCTGACACCACCTTGTGAGTTGGTGCTACCTGCTTTCTTAAGATGTGCAGTTAGATTACCCACCAACCCTGTGCTTGCTGATCTACACAAGCTTGTGATCCAGTAGCGCCTCAGTTTTAAAATTCTTCTTCAGTTCTACAATCCTTTCAGATCTCTGTGCTCCTCCATTCTGCTCTCTTGTGCATCTATGATGTTAATTGCTGCACCATGGGTTGCTGTACCTTCAGTTGCCACAGTGTTAAGCTGTAGGTCTCCCCAACCTTAATCACTGCACCCTTATCTCCTTGAAGATGCTCCTTTAAAACCATGTTTTTGACCAAATTTGGCCATCTGTCCTAAAATATCCTAATGTGCCTTAGGGTCACTCTGGTAAAGCAAATTGGAATATTTTATGAGATTAAACGCCAGTGTAAGTTCAACTTATCTTTAAACCAGAAATATGACATTAATGACTGAACCTCTCAGCAAATCCACACTTATTACGTGCTCAATACCGACCCTTTCATGGAATTATAGCATGTTTATGTCACAGAACAGGGCCATTTGGCCTGCTTGGTCTGAACTGGCTCTCTACAAGAGCATTCACCTAGGCGTACTGACTCACCTTTTTCCCCACAACCCTTCACTTTTTTAATCTTTTGATAGTTGTTCACTGCGGTATTGAAGGTTTTGATTAAAGCTGACTCACCACACTCTTAAGTAATGCTTTCCTGATCTGAGCCGCAGTCTGAATGAATATGTTTTTTCCTTGCGTTGCAGTTGCTTCTTGTGGCAATTGCCTTAAATTTGTATCCTTTGGTTTTCGACCCTTCCACTGTTGTTTCATTCTCCATATCTATTCTGTCATAGAATCACAGAACCCCTACAGTGTGGAAGCTGGCCATTTGGTCCATTGAGTCCACACTGACCCACCAAAGAGCATCCCACCCAAACCCAACCCCTATCCTATGTTTCTCATGGCTAATGCACCTAACCTACAGATCCCCTGGATGTTATGGGCAGCTTAGCAAGGCCCAAGTAGATGTGGGGAGAATGTGCAAACTCCTGAGGGTGGAATCGAACCTGGGTCCCTGGCGCTGTGAGGCAGCAGTGCTAACCACTAAGCCACCGTGCCACCCGTGTCCTGTCTCCTCGTGATGTTGAACATCTGTAACAAATTCTTCTCTTTTTCAATCAATACACTTAATCCTCATTCCTGGAAACATTCTCATGAATCTTTTCCGACCTCTCTAACATCTTCATCACATGCTCCTGAAAATGTAGTGGCCTGGTCTGGACTCTGTACACCAATTGTTGTATATGGGTTTAATGTAACATCATTTGTGGTGTTGAAAATGCAGAGGCAGGAAGAGATGGACCTGTCTGTTGAAGAGCTGTTAAACTCTGGAGAGAGCCACACTCTTAGGTGAACATAAAAGATCCCGTGATCATGTGAAGAGGAGCAGGGACATTCTTCTGTGTATCCCGGCTAGTATTTATCTTTCCAGCTCATCGTTAAACCAGATTATCTGGTAATCATTATTAGATTATGTTTGCTGTCTTTCCTACATTAATGCAATGACTACAGTTCTAAAAGCAATTTAGAATTGCTTATTGGCTGCAAGGCACTGTGAAACATCCTGAGATCATGCAAGACACAATAAATAAAAATCTTTCTCTCGTTGTTCAGTAACATCTTAAAACAAATGTATCAGAGTTGCATGGACCCTGCCTGGATTTTGCAAGTGTTAGGTCCTCTGCTGTTGTGAATTTTTTGATTCTTACTGATTTCAGAATAATTGTGATTTGTGATACAGATTTAGTAAGATGAGCATTGAAACTAAGCTCCTTCCTCTTTAATGTCACCACATTGTGTTGGGTATCAGCAATAGAGCCCCTCAGCTCACCCATCCGTGTACTGTTCTGTATTGGGTGTTAATATGACAAAGCCTTGAGTAGGCTGTTTGCTCCTTCAGGCTGTTGCACCATCCAATAAGATCAGCGCTCATCTAGTTGCAGTGTCAGCTCCACTTTTCTGTCTGTCTCTCCTAACCCTGACTTTTTGGGTCTATCAAAAATCTAACTCCAACCTGTTGAAGTTTAAATTTTTTCATGAGTTAAGCCTTTCATCTGAGGACTGAGTCTAGTGAATTTTCTCTGAAGTGTTTTGAAAGTAGTTTCAGAGATCTCGGGGTTCATGTCTGTGTCTCCCTGAAAGTAGCCACGCAAGTAGATAGGGTGGTAAAGAAGGCGTATGGCATGCTTGCCTTTTTTGGTCGGGGAATTGAATACAAGAGCCAGGTTGTCATGTTGCAGCTTTATAAGACTTTGGTTAGGCCACACATAGAGTACTGTGTTCAATTCTGGTCGCCACCATACAGGAAGGATGTGGAGACTTTGGACAGGGTGCAGAAGAGGTTTACCAGGATGCTGCCTGGATTAGAGGGTATGAGCTATAAGGAGAGGCTAGAAACACTCGGGTTGTTTTCTCTGAAGTGGCGGAAGCTGAGGGGAGACTTGATAGAAATCTGTAAAATTATAAGATGCATAGATAGGGCTGACAGTCAGAATCTTTTTCCCAGAGTTGAAGTGTCTAATAGTAGGGGGCATGCATTTAAGGTGAGGGGGAAAATTCAAAGAAAATGTGAGGTGCAAGTTTTTTTACACAGAGAATGGTAGGAGTCCGGAACTCACTGCCACGGGTGGTGGTGGAGGCAAATACAATAGGGGCTTTCAGATAAGCCAATGAATATGCAAGGAATGGGCTGATATGGACCAAGGGCAGGCAGAAGGAATTAGTTTAATTTGGCGTCATGTTCAGCACAATATCATGGGCCAAAGGGCCTTTTCCTATGCTGTATAGTTATATGTTCTTCCTTTTTTAAATAAGGAAACCAAAATAATACGCAGTACTCTGGATATAGTCTCACCAATGCCCTGTACAGCTGCAGTAAAATTTCATTCCTTCGATATTCCATTCCTTTTGGAAAAGCAACAACGTTCCATTTGCCTTGTTAAACACTTGTTGTACCTGCATTATAAACTTCTGTGATTCATGTATTAGGGCACCCAGGTCCCTCTGAAAGAGTCCTGCAATCTTGATTTAAATAATAGCCTGACTTTCTATTCTTCCTGCCAAAATGGACAACATGAAATTTACCTGAGTTATACTAGAACTTTTTGACCACTCACTGAACCCATCTATATCTCTTTGCAGTCTCTTTACCTCCTCTCAGCAACTTACTTTCTGACCTACGTTGGTGTCATCATCAAATGTAGCCACCATATAATTAATCACCCCGTTCACGTGATCATTATAGATTGTAAATAGTTAAGGACTCAGCGCTGACCCCTGTGGCACTCCAGTAGAGACAGCATGCCGATCTGAGAAAGATCCACTAATCCCTACTCTCTGCTTCCTGTTGAGCTAACTCATTCCTTATACATGCTAAATATATGACCCTTCTACACCAGTGCTCTTGTGCCTCATCCTTTGAGAAGTCATCTTATCAAATTGCTTTTCAAAATCCAAGTACACCATGCACTGTGAATGTTACTTTGTCAAAATACTCTATTAGGTTAGTTATACACAATTTCCCTTTTGCAATGCCATGCTAGCTCTGCCTGATCAGGATATTTTTTAAAGTATCCTACTATAACGATCTTAATAATGGATTATAACATCCTCCCATTGTCAAACAATTTCTTCTTTCTGATTCTCCCCGCGCGCCCACTCTTCAGCAAAGGTGTTTAATTTGCTATTTTCCAATCCACCGGATTTTTGGAAGATTAGAACCAGTGCATCTGCTATCTGTGCTGCCACTGCTTTTAAGATCCTAGGATGGAATTGAAAGATTTTTGGAACTTTATAAAGGCCATCTGGTCTGAGGGAGTTGTCGGCTTTTATATCTAATTGCTTTCCTTGCATCTTTTCCCAGGTGTTTGTGATTATTTTAAGATGATCTCGCCTTACCATCTTTGAAGTTTCAATTATCTTTGGGAGGTTTTTGGAGAATTAACAAGGCTGGGGATTACACAATGAATGTGAGGACCCTGGATAACACTGAAGATCAATGGGACCTTGGTGTGCATGTATGTGGAGCCTTGAAGTCATCAGAATAGGTGGATAGGATGGTTATGAAGGCGCATATTGGATACTTGCATTTATTAGTTGAGGTATTCAGTACAAAGCTGGGCGATTTTGAAGGAGCTGTGTAGGACATTGGTTGAGCCACAACTGGAGTACTGTGTCCACTTCTGGTCACCTCATTATAGGAAGGATGGGATTGCACTGGAAAGGGTGCAGAATAGATTCACTTGGATATTGCCCAGGGCTGGGGCAATTCAGCCAGAAAGAGAGACTACATAGCCCCTCATAATTTTTTACCCCTCATAATTTTGTACACCTCAATCTGATTCCATCCCTCCCCCCACCACCCAGACTTTTCTGCTCCAAGGAAAATAGCCCTAGTCTGTGTGGCCATGTGGAGTTAGATCACAGATTAGCTATTATCTCATTAAATGGTACAACAGGTTTAAGTAGTAAGACGGTCCACACCAATTCTTTTGTTACTACATACTAGTTGAATCTCTCCATTTTACATGTTCCAACCCTTCACAGCTGCTACAAAGGTGGTCTGCAAACATTGCCCACTGCTGTTGTAATCCATTCCAATTTCATAATTCTATCCACAAAGTTTTCACCCCACTAGTGCTTACAAGTGATTTTTGTCATAATGAGTTAAATTTATTCATAAAATAGCTGTTAATTAGGATATGTAACAGTTGTCAATGTGGACATTTGGGTGCTTTTGTTTGTTGGATTCCATTCCACCAAGGGTTTAAAAACTATATCCTTATTTTCAAATCCCTCTGTGACTTCACCCATCCTTAACTCTGTAACTTCCTCTACTCCCCTATGCCCCTGTGCAACTTCTTGTATTCCTCCAATTCTGGCCTTCTAGACAGTATGGATCCATTTGCCTATCTTCTCTGGCCATGCCCTCAGCTGTGCAAGCCTTATGTTATGAAATTGCCACCCTTAATCCCTCCTTCTCTTTACCTTTTTAAGGTGTTGTGAGGTGTAAGAAGGAATGAGGCTACGAAAGCTTGTGTCGTATGATTTCTGACCTTGTCCACCCGAGTCCAACACCGGCACCTCCACATCATGGCTACCTTTTTAAAACTTATCTCTTTGACCAGTTTTTTTTTAGTCTCCATTATCATACCTCCTCCTTCAGGTTTTATTGGTTTACATTTTTCGTGAAGTGACTTGGGACATTGTGAAATGTTAAAGACAAAGTTGTTGCGCTGCATTAGGTTGGGCATTGTTAGACTATTTGGGAAGTTCATTTGTAAAACAACTCTTGTTTTCTGTGTTCAAGGAAATAGTTTTAAATTTGAATTGCTTTGGAGGTGTGATTTTGTGAATGCATGACACACTGTATAGTGCAGTAGGTTTATGAAATTGTTTTCTGAAATAATGATAGTTGCTGCACTCAAATTCCTTACTTGTGTGGTGAATGCAATTGGCTTTCAAACAAGGATTTATTCACAGCAAGTCCTGTTCATCCACTACCCCTGGGCACATTGGCTTCTGTTCTGGCTCCACCTCAGTTTTAAAATTTTTATCCTTGCATTCAGATCCCTTCGTGGCCTCATTCCTGTACTGTACCTTTCCCCAGCCCTCTGGGAACGCTGTGCTCCTTCAGTTCTGAACTCTGGCCTATCCCTGATTTTCACCTTTGGTCATGCCTTCTGCTGCCTTGGCTGTAAACAATGGGATTTCTTTTGCTAAGCATCACTGTTTCTCCATACACCTGTCAACTTGTTAAGATGCTCCTTAATGTCAAGCTCTTTGACAAAGCCAACCTAATTTACCTTATTCCCCCCAGTGTCAGATTTTATTTGAAGATACTGTTGTGAAATGCCATGGGAATTCTGGTAAAGGAGTAATCTCCAAAACAAGTTATGCTTTTTATTCTTTGATCATGGGATGTGGGTGTCGCTGCCTTGATCTGCATTTACTGCCAGTCCCTAAGTGCCCAGAGGGCAGTTGAGAGTCAACCACGTTACTGAGAGTCTGCAATCACACCTAGGTCAGACTGGGTAAGGATGGTGGATTTCATTCCCAAAAAGACATGGGTGAACTAGGTGGGTTTTTAAACAACAATCGTCATGGATGTGATTAGCTCTTCAGTCCAGATTTTGTTGAATCCAAATTTTGCCAGCTGTATTGATGGGATCAGAACCCATGCCTAAAGAATGTTAGCCTGGGTCCCTGGATCTCTCTGCAGTGGCATTATCACCAGCTCCCCTGTTGAGTGGTTCAGTTTGATGTTATTGTAACCCAGGCTGTTTCTATAACGTGTTTCTTGTATTTTGCAGCCAGTGGAGGCCACTGATGATGCATTCTGGGATCAGTTCTGGGCTGACACAGCTACATCCATCCAGGACGTGTTCACCTTGGTGCCAGCAGCTGAGATCCGAGCAGTCAGGGAGGAGTCACCCTCTAACTTAGCCACCCTGTGCTATAAGGTACGGAGACCATCTGTCCTTTCCTGTGAACTTTGAGCTAAATTAACTGAGGAATGTTTGTCATGTGAGTCAAATTATTTCTTTTTTCTAGCACTCGTGTTGAGGAGATGTATATACCATAAGTTAGACGCAGAGTACATCTCCCTCGACAATGTTCCCATCAAACACTCCCAGGACAGGTACAGCATGGGGTTAGGTATGGAGTAAAGCTTTCTCTACACTGTCCCCATTAAACACTGAGGACAAAGGCAACACGGGGTTAGATACAGAATAATCATAGAATCCGTACAGTGTGGAAGCAGGCTATTCGGTTCATCAGGTCTACCCCGACCCTCCGAAGACCATCCCACCCAGACCCGCCCCCTACCCTATCCCTGTAATCCTGCATTTCCCACAGCTAATCCACTGAGTCTGCACATCCCTGGACTCTATGGCCAATTTAGCATAGCCAATCTACCTAACCTGCTCATCTTTGGACTGTGGGAGGAAACTGAGCACACAGAGGAAACACACAGACACGGGTAGAATGTGCACACTCCACGCAAACAGTTGGGTCCCTGGTGCTGTGAGGCAGCAGTGCTAATCACGGAGCCATAGCGCTGCCCTCTACACTGTCATCTCTGCCCACAGCTGCACCTCCAGGTGTCTTGGTTCAGGGATAGGGACACTACCTCTCCACCACAAGAGGACCCCTCTAGGAGTTGCTGCTGAATTATGGGTGATAAGATTCAGCTGATGCCTGCAAGTCTCACTGAGCTTTCAGTGAGTGAGAGGAGGAGCTTGTAGCTAATCAGCTGCAATGTGTAAGTTATTAAGGATGTAAAACCTGGTGCATGTTATGATATCCCAAATGAGAATGGTAAAATTCAAATAAAATTAATTGCTGTTCACTACTATATGCTTTTATCACGGAATCTGGGAGTACTTAGTGGTCATCAATTAAGAACAACAATTGAAAGGGACTATTTGTGGGGCTGTGGTAGTGTCCCTACTTCTGAGCCAAGAGATCCAGGTTTAAGTTTCACCTGTTCCAGAGGTGTGTCATAACGTCTCTGAGCAGGTTGATCATAAAATTTTTGACGCCAAATGAAAATATATTTCTTGAACTGCCTTTTCCTTCATGTGTACTGATATCATACACTCAGAAGCCTAGTGCATGCTCAGACTGGCTTATTAACAGAGTTTGAAATTATCGCAGTTAGTTTACCAGTCTAGAAGAGTGGCAGGCTTAATATAATCCAGGATAAACGTGTACCTCTCACTCAGTGTCACTGCACCGTGTTTGGAACATTGTTCAGCAAGTCCCTCAATTCCCAATTCCAGTATGTGAGCTTGCCCCTACCTGAACTGTCACCCAACCAGGTCAATTCCGTCCCCCAGTCACCCTTTGGGCCAACAGGGTGTGTTTGTAATTTCTTCCCTTCCCTAATGTTGTGTATATATTGGTGGCTGAATCAGCCATCCAATTTAAAGTTAGTCATTGGAAGCAGTGCATTCATAGACTGAACAGGAATGAGGTCAGGGTATTGGCAGTACTAATTTTTTTTAACACACTTTGTTTGATCTGTTCTCTGGTATTTCAGTACAATGGTCAACAAAAGCTAAAGTTTGGCTCACATATAATTACTCTTGTGTTTATGCTCAAGTGCCACTTCAGCATGTAATCTAAACCATTGCTCCCTTACATGACTGAAGGAGGTGACTCTGTTCAAGGTGACATTTTTTAGATTTGATGTTGATATGTCTGCCTTTTAGGGAGGGTGTTGGAAGAGTTGATATTGTTTTAATGCTCTCGCTAATGTGCCCCCTCCAAAGAATGCCACTTCAAAACTGATGATCTGGTAATTTTTTATCATTCATTCACAGGATGTAGTCCTTCAGTTCCAGGTGATTTTTCTACCTTCAGACCTTTCAGTTTTCCCACCACCTTCTCCTTAATGATGACCGCTACATTCACCTCTGCCCCTTGACTCTGTTGAAGTTCTGATATGCTGCTGGTGTCTTCTACTGTGAAAACTGATGCAAAGTGTCTATTCAGTTCCTCTGTCATTTCCTTGTTCCCCATTACTACTTCTCTAGCCACATTTTCCAGTGGTTCAGTGTCCACTCTTGCCTCTCTCTTCTCTTTTAGGCATCTTTAAAAAAAATTTCTTGCAATTTTCCTTTGTATTCCTAGTTAGTTTACGCTCATATTACTCTCCTTCCTGACTATGCAAAGCTTACTGATATTCCATCACACTCCTGAATTTGTGACTTCAGACTGCTCCACTTACCTACCACAGTGACTGAACTTTGGAGTAATGGGAATAATTGATAAATCATAGTATAAATGCATGTTCCATCTTATCTTGAAAGTGGTAAGAATGCTTCCTACAGGCCACATGATAGTTGCCCACCTCCCTGTGGATTGGCTGATCCTCTTTGGGGATGTTGGGCAAAGCCTTAAGTGAGATAGTCACCTCATTACACAGCTAGTGACACATATCTGTGTATCTCCGATCAATGCAACAGCCTGACAAAACCACCCTGGTTTTTTGTACTGTACCCCTTTTTGCACTGTTCCCTTCCATTGAGGTGAACATTGAAGCAGTTCTGTCAACTCCTATTTGTCACTTGAACAATTGAACAGCCCTGAAGGAGGCCAATAACTCATTATTTTCTTGCCTGGTCATTGTAAGAGCTATCCGCTTAGTATCCCTCTTCTGCTCTCCACCCTTAGCTGTGAAAACTTCAAACATTTCTACTTCAAACACTTATCACATTCCCTTTGGAAGTTGATGCATTCACTGCCATCCCGATGTGTTCCAAACCATGATCTGCTCGAAAAATAAATGTTTCCTCTTTCCCCGTACTCTTGTAAATTGTTTTTGTATCTTAGTCCTCTGGTTATTGCTCATTCTGTGAGTGAAAACTCTTTCTCCTTGTTTATTCTGTTAAAATCATTCATGATTTTTTTACCCCTCAATTTGTTCTTTCCTTAGCTTTGTCTGCTATTAAGGAGAACAATCCCAATTTCTGTACTGTCTCATGGCCTTATCTCTGGTGGTATCTGGAAATTCTTCTCTGTACGCTCTTGCTATTCTGTGCTCTTATTTCTTTGCTGATCATGTGATTTGCTGTGTTTGTGGCTGCCTCTCTCCATGGTGACCACTATGTGGTTTGAAGAAACCACAGGCTTTTAGAAAACGGAAATTTCTCTGTGGAGTGTTTCCTTCCTCAGTCTAATTGCAGGCCCCACTTGCTGCAGATACAGTATGTTGCGGTTCTCAGAAACTACTCCGGCTAAGTAGTTTTGTCCAGTTTTCCTTTAAACCAGTGCTGACCAAGTACTAGTTATTTTACCAGTGAGTAATCCAGAGGCTTGTGCTTGTTACCCACAGTGTTTAACTCTGACCATGTCAGTTTGTGTTTGGTTCAAAAGAAAATCAGGAAAAATAAAGTTCTTCTCTGTAAAAGTGACTGTAAAGCTGTACATTTGTTGTAAAAACCCAATTGTTCTTGGAATTTCCTTTGGAGAAGGAAGCCTAATGTACTAGCCCAGTTTGGTTTATATGTGACTCCTGCCACATAGCAATGTACCATAATAAGTAGATTGATAAACAACTTCGTGTATCAAATCAAGAACAGCACTTCAAGGAGAAAACCCAGCACTACCTTCTTCTGCTGGCTTTGTAGCAACACACACGTGCCAAAAGTATATCTGTGTTATACAGAGGCAGACCTGTCCTCACCAGTATTGTACCCCAGTGTTATACAGTGACAGACCTGTGCCCACCGGTACTGTACCCAAGTGTTATACAGTGACAGACCTGCCCTCACCAGTACTGTACCGTAGTGTTGTACAGTGACAGACCTGCCCTCACCAGTACTGTACCGTAGTGTTATACAGTGACAGATCTGTCCTCACTGGTACTGTACCCCAGTGTTATACAGTGACAGACCTGTGCCTGCCATTACTGTACCCCAGTGTTATACAGTGACAGACCTGTACCCACCCATACTACGTGTTGTATAAATAGTTATCTAAATAATGTATTTTTTTCTGGTCCATCCAGGCAGTTGAGAAGTTAGTCCAAGGTGCTGAGTCGGGCTGTGCGAGTGACAAGGAGAAACAGATTATTATTAACTGCACTCAGCTCCTGACCCGCATCCTGCCTTATATCTTTGAGGATCCAGACTGGAGAGGCTTCTTTTGGTCAACAATTCCAGGAGCAGGCCGTGCTGGGGTAGGTCTATACCAGGTCCTTTTCTTACACTGGTGTAGTATCTGAGCCTGTTTTGTAAAAACAGCCTCTGTCAGTGCCTTTGTTTGGCCTTTGCTGTGTTTTTATGACCAAGAACATTCATATTACATGTACAATAAATACACTAAGAAACTTCACGGAGTGTGAACGAATAATATTGGAGCATGGAGGGAGAGATTGGGAGGAGGTGATTGAAACCTAGTTTGTTATTGACATGGATAACACAGTGTGGAGCTGGAGGAACACAGCAGGCCAGGCAGCATCAGAGGAGCAGGAAAGTTAATGTTTCAGGTTGGGACCCTTCTTCATAAATGACCCGAAACGTCAACTTTCTTGCTCCTCTGATGCTGCCTGGCCTGCTGTATTCCTCCAGCTCCACACTGTGTTATTTATGACTGCAGCGTTGGCAGTTCTTAGTGTCTCTGAGTTTGTTATTGACATGCTTCTCTGGGTGACGATGGTGAAGGGTCTGGAAAATGTGACAAAAGACCACATCCACTCTGAGTCAGAGTCCAGCAGCAGCTTGTTAATCATCGATGGCCAATTGATTCTTCTTACCCCTACCCCTGTCCATAGTGCTGAGGATTAATTTAATCCCGAGTCTGCAGTGAGTGAGGTCCAGCCTCCCTCATCATAGTGACCAGGATTGGATAACCCACTGCCTACTATTGACGAGAATCAATTTCTCTCCAGTCCCTAATGACCAGCGTTGATCATCCAGCCCAGTCGTTATTGATTGGAATCAGTTACCCCATGATTTTGATGAGCAGGAGAACCCTGTACAGTGAGCAGATCAAATCGAAAGTGTTGAAATCTAGGGGGTGCAGACTAAAAAAGAGCCAGAAGCAATGTGAGGAGAAACCTTTTTTTATTGCATATTATTCTGAAATATATACCTGATGTGAAAATGGAAACAGATTCAAAAGCGAATTGGATAAATACTTGATCGAGAAGAAAACAGCAGGCTTTGGGAGAAGGGCAAGAGAGTGGGATTAACTTAATTGCTTTTTGAAAGAGCCAACGGTTTCAGTGAGCTGAATTACCTTCTCTTGTGCCATCCTAGTCTATGATTCTATTCTGATATTTAGGCAAATTGCTTTGTCAGAAGTAGAGTCAACAAGGTGTGAGTGGAGGAGAGATTTGGATAGATGATTGCAGAGTTTAATTTCAGATTGGTTATATGTGTATGTTGCTTGCTCAATTTCATTCCTAGCTTGTGAAATGCATCAACTGTAATCCTGTACCTAATTCAGCTGCTGCATTGGCTTAGTGTTAATGAGACACACCCTGAAGGAATTGGTCTCACCCCCAAATCAGTCTCTCAGACAGATGCAAACAGGCAGCTGGGGCCTCACCACTAAACTCACTGAAAAGAAACCTTCCATTTTTACGTTAACTTTTGCTCCAAGTTTTTCCTGTTCAAACTTTATTCGCTAATTCCCAGTTAGTCTTGGAGCTTCCAAGAATCTTGAGGTAACCTTTCAGGAGCTTGGTTAGGTTGCAATGCTCGAAGCAGCCTCTGCAATGCAACAGATCAACTTTTATAAGATCCAGTCAGCATTGCAGGGTTTCAATGCAGCAGGACTTGCATTCATACAAACATGTATAAATCCTCCCCTGCGCCTCCACTGCATGCACGTGTGTGCACACACGCATCTATACAAGCATACATATAACCACACATGCAAACATGTGTATAGCTGTGTGCATGCGCGCGCACACATAGGTGTATATCTCCACACACCGACAAGTGCATGCATACCTGCACACACACACACCTGCAAACAGGCATGCATATACCTGTACATACGCGCGCACACAAGCATATATCATCACACAAATATAGTATGCATATACCCACATTCATACGTACAAACATATATGTACCCACATACGTATGCGTACAAGCATGTGTATATCCCCCTAACCAAATATATTATACATACATATATCCCCACACATATATACAGGCATGTATATATCACCCACATGCACACAGGTGCATGTATACCCCCCAACCTGGCACACATACAAGCATGTATATATCCCCACATTCTCACACAGGCATGTGTATATCCTAATGCATGCACACACAGGGACACGCAAGCACATATATAGCACTATACACTCTTACAAGCAGGCATACATACTATAGTTAAGCTGAAGAGAACCGATGTACAAATAGAGAAAGGGTTTGTGTATGAAGGCAAAGAACAAGGAGAATATCCCCACATTATTCAGCTGACACTTTGCAATGCTTTGAGGTCATGAAAATTTCTGCATAAATGCAAGCCTTTCCAATGTCCTTTAAGTGAGCCATAAACAATAGGCATTGCCAACCACATTTCAGATTGTTATGTGCAGCTGTCTGACAAAGGTGCTTGAATGCGCATATTGTTCTTGGTCCAGTAAACATCTACAATCTTTCAATATTCAACAACCTTTGATGTGTCTCATAATCTGACCAGCAGCTAGTGAATAAACAGCAGAATCACCTGTATTAATGAATGGCCTTGACTGATGTACTTGGTGTATCCATCACGGAAGTCTCGTCAGAAAACATCAGTGGGCTATTTATAGCATAATCTGATCGTATCAAGTGATGTCATTAAGTTGTGCTGTTTTAAATCAACCTGGATTGTGTGACAGACCTCTGACCTCAGAAGTAGCGACATTGCACAAGAGCTGCTTTGTTAAACTGAGATTCTGGACAGTAATTAGAAGCACGATATCTCTTATCCCCACAGCATCAACCTCAATAAGATACTCCAAACAAGTACATCTATTTCAACAGGCCTAGGCCATTCAGTCCAACTAGATCTATACTGGTAAAAACCAAAAGAACTGCAGATGCTGTAAATCAGGAACAAAAACAAAGTAGCTGGAAAAGCTCAGCAGGTCTGGCAGCATCTGTGAAGAAAAAAATCGGAGTTAATGTTTCAGGTCTGGAACATCAGAGTTAACGTTTTGGGTTCGGTGACCCTTCCTCAGAACTGAGTTCACCGGACCCGAAACGTTAGCTCTGTTTTTGTATATGCTGGTATTTTACATTTGACAAGAGCCTCCTCCTGACTTATTTCATCCAAAGCCCTCAGTAGGACTTTCTGTATCCTTGCTTATTAGCTTTCCTTTAAATGCATCTCAACTATTTGCCTTAATGAATTCATGTGGTAGAAAGTTCCAAATTCTCACTACTGTCTGAGTAAAGAAGTTTTCCTGAATTTCCTGTTGGATTTATTAGTGCCTATTTTAAATTCCATAGTAAGTGGAAAAGTCGTATTTATCTGATCAAATACTTTCATAATTTTAAAGACCTCTGTTAGGTCACTTTCCACTTTCACGAGAAATGAGCCCCAGCCTGCTCAATCTTTCCTGATATGTATAACCTCTATTTTCTTATACCTTCTCCAGTGCTTCCATATTCTTTACATTGTATAGTGATCAGAACTGGCCTCCGTACTCCAAAGTGTACTTTAACCAAGCTTTGAGACAAGTTTAACATTATTTATTTGCTTTGGAACAAAACTAGAAATCGCTGGTGGATTTCTAGCAGGCCTGGCAGAATCTGGGAAGAAAGCAGAGTTAACATTTCGAGTCCGTTGACTCATCATCGGAACTGTGTGTGTTTTAATGAGAGCTGAGGGTATTAGAGAATGGGTAGTCTGTGCTGAAAGCAAACCATGCAGTGTGATAATTGGCCTCAGTGGGTGAGAATGGGTTGGCTGTGCTAAAAGCAACCAATGTCATAACAGAACTGTGTGTGTGGTTTTTAAAGAAAAACATGGGCGAATGTAATCGGGCTGTAAAGTTATTGATCTCCATGTTGAAAAGAGGCTGCAGGGTCCCCAAGCGGAAAATGAGGTGTTGTTATTTGAGCTTATGCTGTGGCTTGCTGCAGCAGGACTGTGACAGAAATCTTGGCGTGGGAGCACAGTTGTGTCTTGAAGTGGCAGGCACCTGGAAGCTCGGATTTTTGTTAATGGACAGAACGTAGGTGTTCTGCAAAGCGGTGACCCAGTCTGCATT